GGACGATTTAACACGTTGATCGCCGAGCGCATGTCGAGCAGGTTTCTTACGGGGCCACGAATTCTTAGTATGCTTTTTATATATTTCCGGTTTTTGCTCTTTTTGTTAAAAGTTTACGACACGTACGTGCTTTAGTGTTAGCTTGTCAAATTAGAAGTTTCTACACACTTTTTTTTTTTGCATTCCTCAAGCGTAGGCTAGAAATTTAGAGAATTTACAACGAGATCCTGAAATATCCCATAATTTTTCTTTCAATATATGACAAATAACTATTACAGTATTATGTATTTTTATATAAATGACTACTTCGAAATAATTGAAAAAATTCACTATATTATTATATCGTACGCCACTATGCTTCATTTAGAAATGATTTACTATTTAAAACTGTTTCATTTTCTACTAAATTCATTTTCTTCTATTATCTATACTAAATGTTCCTTCCTTTAAGATTTAAAAATAGTATCGTCACCCAATGAAAATTTGACCGTCACCCAGATGAATCTCACAATCAAGGCAAAACTAGTCGGTAAGCTTAATTAATCGCTTTATGATCGATGACGTTTCCACGATTTCACTTCATGCGCGAGATTTCTTCCAACGATCGCTCATCGGCAAGTTGATTCACACACACCGGAACTTTCCAGAGGACAGAGACTTCTGGCGTGTCATAGAAAACTTTCACTTCTATTCTATGTTTGTGAAAAGCTCTTGATACGATGACACCGACGGTTTCTTTGATAGAACCAGGCATCCGATGATCAATTTCTATTCGCTCGACGCGACTCTCCTCGTCTGCCTTAAGGATTTCTCCCCCCTCTATTTACTCTTTTCTTTTCGATTGTATTACTCAATGACGTTTGCTTTCTATTTTGCCGCCTAAACTCATATTTACCTGGTTGTTTCAACAACTTCTAATACGACATACTTTGACATTTTTATCGAGGCTCGTCGAACGAATCCTAACTTGCGTTTATAGTGAGCATATTACACATAAGTATGATGAATATCTCTACTGAGATTTAATATCCAATTATCAAAAAAGTATTATTCTGAAACATTTATCAATCGGATTACGTGCTAATCTTTCCGAAAATAATTACTGCAATAATTTACTGTAATACAGATGAAATAGAAAATATTTATTAATCAGATCACACACCAATCTTCCAAAAAAGATTTACTATAGATACAAAATAAATAATAAATAATACAGATAAAAAGGAAATTAATTAAATAAATTCTCCACTATTCTCTGATATTTTATTTGAATAAAAAAATTTCTCAGAAGAGATATTCAGTCCTAACACATTCTTATGTAATAAAACGAAAATCCTAGCAGATCCCTGCAAACATTGCCGAACAAATATTATCGAATAGTGGTGCCTCGCAAAAACCTCAAACCGATAATGCGGATAGCACATACATATGTATAATGAATATATCTATTGAAATTTGGTGTCCAATTAACGTGTTATTCTGAAACGTTTATCAATCGGATTATACATTAACCTTCCCAAAAATGATGATTAACTGCAACACAAATAAAAGAAAAATAAATAAATTTTCCACTGTTCTCGAATATATTTTATTTAAATAAATAAATATATCACTTCAATATTAAAATATATATTAAAATATATGTAATATTAATATTTAAATATATATTAAAATATATGTAATATTAATATTTAAATATATATTAAAATATATATAATATTAACATTTAAATATATATTAACATATTACATAATATTTGAACATATTTTATTTAAATAAAATATATATCTTAGAACAGAGATATTCAGTCCTAACACATTCTTATGTAATAAAACGAAAATCCTAGCAGATCCCTGCAAACATTGCCGAACAAATATTATCGAATAGTGGTGCCTCGCAAAAACCTCAAACCGATAATGCGGATAGCACATACATATCTATAACGGATATATCTATTGAGATTTGATGTCTAATTAAAGTATTATTCTAAACATTTATTAATCGGATTATACATTAATCTTCCCAAAAATGATGATTAACTGCAACACAGATAAAAAAATAAATAAATAAATTTTCCACTGTTCTCGAATATATTTTATTTAAATAAATAAATATATTACTTATATATTAAAATATATATATATCTAAATATATTTTATTCAAATAAAATATATATCTTAGAACAGAGATATTCAGTCCTAACACATTCTTATGTAATAAAACGAAAATCCTAGCAGATCCCTGCAAATATTGCCGAACTAACATTATCGAACAGTGGTGCCTCGCAAAAACCTCAAACCGATAATGCGGATAGCACATACATATCTATAACGGATATATCTATTGAGATTTGATGTCTAATTAAAGTATTATTCTAAACATTTATCAATCGGATTATACATTAATCTTCCCAAAAATGATGATTAACTGCAACACAGATAAAAAAAAAAATAAATAAATTTTCCACTGTTCTCGAATATATTTTATTTAAATAAATAAATATATCACTTCAATATTAAAATATATATTAAAATATATGTAATATTAATATTTAAATATATATTAACATATTATATAATATTTGAACATATTTTATTTAAATAAAATATATATCTTAGAACAGAGATATTCAGTCCTAAAACATTCTTATGTAATAAAACGAAAATCCTAGCAGATCCCTGCAAACATTGCCGAACAAACATTATCGAACAGTGGTGCCTCGCAAAAACCTCGGACCGATGGTGCGGATAACAGACGCGGACACCGGAAGCCACAATGCGAGGGCAATATACGGAATCCCTTCTTAATTTCGCGGAACGTGTTGCATTCGGGTAGCGTGAAACAGGAGAATTTTAATCTAAGGGACGGTCAGCGCGCAATTGCGCAATTTGCACCCGGCGATAATCGCGGCGCATTTGCACGTTACCGTGTACCCGATAACGTTAACGAGGTTGTCGCAGGTTCACGCACGTCGTGCCTAAGTAAATTGGCGGGCAAACGTTCGGCAAGCCCTGGCAAACCGGCCAATTCGATTGCGGGACACGTAGCGAGGAGTTGAACGGGGAATGCGGAATCGATAATCGAGTCGAACCGTCGGCATTTCGTTGCATTTGCCCTATACTTGTGATTTTTCTCCACCTCCTAACCGCTCCCCCGTTAGTTCGCGAACACCAAATGCGAGTTTAGTTTCCCCTCGTAAACGACGTTAATCAGGATACTCGTCAACTCGTGGACTGGCCGATCGATTCGTTAAGAGACGAATTAACGTGATTCCAGATATTTTTCACGTTGGAGTATTTTGAGACAATTGCAATTGCTTGGTACTTTTCAATATTATCCCTGGCTCGTTTTTAATTGCAACAGTGTCCTTTTACTCCCTGTTATTCGTGGATACATTCGTGTGTAAGTCTAACCAAAGATAATATTCACTTGCAATCAATGACGAAGGTTCTGCAGGGTTGAATTAGAAATGAGCGAGGATTTTGATTTCTTTATTTTTGAAAAATAAACCAGCGTCGAATGATATATAATATGTAATAACCGATAATCAAAAATAACCAATCTATAGATTATATATATAATGCCAGATGACTGGCCGCTCTTCGTGAGTCACAGAACCTAAGCAACAGATTAGATTGTTTAATTAAGGTGTAAAAACCATGATAAGATCCACGAGAACGCCGTTACATTTTTTGCCAAAGTGTAAATTTTGTTTACAAAGCATAAAACTTAGAAACAAATGATTCTCATACATCTACCAATGAAGATGTAAATAAAATAAATACTTGGATTTGGAAAGAAACTCGTGTCATCCTTGGAATTCAACGATAATAAACATTGTACAAACTACGATTGACCATCAATCGGTTGCTGCTACTTATGTATATTCCTACTCATGCGTTGTCTTTTTATCTTAGCCATTTGTCAATGTCATTTCGCGTAGGTTTTACAAACGGCTTTATTGTTAGAAAGACAATATAGCAGACCAGTTCGAATCCGATCGGCGTGTGCATAAATCTATTACATTTCCCAAGCGTTGCTCAAGTAACAAATAAAATATTGCCTCGGAGTGAAAGTGATCAAACCGGTAGAACACACACCTTGGTACCAGTAACGGATATTTTGCAAACGCCTGAATTTGGAATTTCAAAAATATAAATTATAAATTCAAAAAAAATTTTATTTAAAAAAAGACTAGATATTAATAAATACATTTAATTCCTAAGTATATATTTATTTTTTTTATTCCACAAAAATAAAAAAGAAATATAGATCATTTACTTTTGAGATAACTAAAATTATTAAAATAAATTAATTAACCCTGATACAAAAGGTACAAAATATATTTTATCTATTTCTAAAAAAAATTCATATTTTTAATATCAATTTTAAATTATTACTAAAATATATTTTTATTATAAAACTTTGTTTAATTATACTAATTTTTAATTTAATATATAAACATTATATATATATATATTTACTTATAAACAAATTTATATTTTTGCTACTCAATCCTACCACGTATCTACTCAATAAAAAAAAAAAAAAACCACTTTTTCTTCCCAACGAAAGAAAAAGAAAAAGACAAGGAAAATGGTTCGCTCGGATGACCGTAAATCCCACCGATTTTCGTTCGTTCCATCCCAGCATCGTTTTCAGATTAAACCCATTAAAGGGGTTGTTTTCGTCGCGGTCGAGATGTTTCAAGCGGAGGAACGCAAAACGGGGCGGCGATTAGTTCGCAGAGAGCACGGGCGAGCAATGTCGGAGCACGCGCGGTCGTGAGAGTTGAATTGCGAGTCCGCGGCTAGGCGAAGAGTTTCGCGAAATCACATTGACCCAGTTCCTTTCTTTCTCACCCTTTTGTTCGCGGTCGAATACCGGTCAGGCGACCGTCGTACACTCGGAACACGATCGCGTGTGTAGACGCGTGCGTACACACGGCGAGTATACGAGCACGGTGGATAGGAGAGGTTCTATTAGCCGCGCAGGTACGTAGCCGCACATTCCTGCGGTTTCAGCAACATAACCGGATTACACTGCTTGCATAGGTGAATTAGCAAGCAAATGTTCGGTAAATTCGTTCATCGGTGTCTGGCCTCGTCGTCGATCGCCGCCGTGTATTCTCGGCCGCTTGATACTCGGCTCGCGATCAGAGCGCGGATTTTTACGCGGTCGAGGGAAACTCGAGAGACGGAAAACCGCGTGACATACAAGGAACGTGCACATAACTGCAACCGAGTGGAAAATTGTAGATAATTTAAACTGATGCAACATTGTAAGAGAAAGGTCATATCCAACGATCCACGTGGTTATGACCGTTTTAAAGCGTGAAACTTTACGTCACACGTGGAGAGTGGGGTACTGAAAAAACTTTAATCGTTAAGAAAATTCCTCTTCTGGCTGAATCGATCGTGAAGATTGAAACGAGATTGAAATTTTGTTGTTTCGACGATTGAAAACTCGCAGTCTTTTGTTCGCGACTTTTTACAACTCGCTGTACGATTTTTCATTCGTCATTTTATTGAAATAACGATTAGGGTCAAATAACGAAATGTTTGGACTTGATGAATTTTTATCGTTTAAACCTAATATTCAACGTTCAATAAAATAATTAAAAAGAAAATTGTATCAAATCTTCGATCTTTGAATTGCTTTCACGCACGTTTGAATTTTTACAGAATTTTTCGAGTAATTTTACGAAAGTTTTACAATTTCAAACGTATCTTCACTTTGTCGCCCGTTGCACGATGTGAAAATCATTTTCAGAAGGAACGAACTCACGACAATCGAAGTAGAAACTTTGTTCTTTAAAACAAGACCGAGTTACATGATCCTTTTTTTTTTTTTTACAAAGTTCTACCAGTTTAAATTATCCACAAATTTTCGTTAATATTGGTACAGTTATTCTTCACTGTAACTGCATGATTTATTTCTTCGGCTTCGTGAAAATATAAATTCGCACGAATTATATATAGAATAGACCAGCTGCTGCGAGTGCATCGAGGAATTTGGAAAAGCAGGAAATTTGGTAGCAAATTGATGAGTAATCGTATTTTTGCTCAGTGAGTGCAGTTTTAGAATTGTGGAATGTTTAAACCAGGAAATTTTAACGGTAACGCAGACTGATTTTGCAAATATAAAGCAAAATCACTGTGTAAGATATTTGACAACGTGGAATTTAATCTGTCAGTGGGAACGAAGCGAAATGAAATATGAAAACGATGAGATTTCTCTTAATTACGCTGAAAGTAGTGTATAAATCACGTACCAGATTAATTCGCAAGCAATTTCACTCGTTAGGATACGATAATTTATAAAGATCATTCCACGAAAATGGAATTGAAAGGCTGTCAAAAAATTGTGCAAAATAATGACTAAGTTTGAAGTCAAATTATAAACTTGTACTTTTTTCATTGTTCTATTTATTATAATGAAAATTACAACGTACAAAGTTACAAAGAAACAATCTGCGTTGCCTCAAATCAAATTTTATCAAATTATATCAAACAATACGTTAATTTTGAACTGGAAATATTTACCGAAAAAAATCCTTCAACCTCGACTCTATTAAAATATTCTAAATTGAACAAACACCAATAAATGAAAGATGACTTTCCGCTACAAACGACGGATGACTTTCATCGTGACACGATTTGATCCAAGCGCGTGCATATGTATGTGCAAACAAGTCCGTTCGCTTGTTTCTCAAATTCATTCTCCGAAAACAGTGACTTTATCCAATGGAAATTTATCCTACGGTCTCGCTTTATCCCGGCGAAAGGAATCATCTAGGTTCATCTGGGTTACGTGAAGGTTCGTACGTACGAATGTACATATGTACAAGGAACAGTATCATGCAAGAATAACTTTGTACGTCTGAAATATTCCCGCTATCACGGACAGTATGAAATCGTAATTCCACCGAAAATTGTACAGTGGCCCCGAGAGTATCTTTTGAGAACAGAGGCGATAACTTATCTGTAAGAAGAACGGCGACTTGTTTATTTGCAGCAAAAGTGTCGTAGAAATTTCAACATTTCGGAACGAGCATTGAATTTACCGTGATTTGGTCGTGATCGAGGGATGAGTGGGACGTGTTTGACAGTAACTTTCGTCAGAAATGAAGTATTAAATTAAATTCAAGATAAGAAATTGTCGTATAAGAAATTACTACTAAAGAAACAGTTTCTCCTAGTGCAGAATACACCTAAAACGCTTCAAACGTAATGTTGGTCAAATGAAATAAAGTTACAAATTGTAATGAAAAAAAAAAAAACGAGATAAAAATTAGAATCACCTTTGAAAAGTCATCTCGCGTTACTTCAGAACAAACTGAAATTTCTCTACGTGTTATATTATATCTGCGAGTGGCCAACGCTCCTTCACTAATTTTCACGAGAACCAATACCATCTCATGCGTCATTCGTGTATCAAAATTACCAAATATAGTTCCATTCCCGTGGAAAGTTACCCTCGAGCAAACGGAAATAATTTTCTGCCCGATGTTTGCAAAACTGCTGTCGCGGAACTTGAACACAATATTTACGACCGCTTGAAACGAACCAATTCGAAGCAGCGTAGGAACCAAACTGATCAACTCTGTCAACATCGATCGTTTGACTTCTGAAAAATTAAAGTGCCAAAACGAGCGCGCGCTGACGTGTGAATGAACAACAAAATCAGAATTCCACGTGAAAGCAGATGCATTGGATTGTTTATTGAAATTGTAGGAACGTGTATCTTAAATTATTTATGATTTTTAATCAGGAAAGCTACATCTAGAGTTCGTAACAGTGTGTAAGAATTAATTAAATCGATTTCAGTTAATTCGGTGTCATTTACATCGAATATCAATTTTTCTTTTTAACACGTACGTGTTAAAGTTACAAAAGAAATAATGGCTTTCTTAAGAAAATATGGATATAGTATAGTGTCCGGCAATTTTTGTTCTCAAAGTTTTGTATTTTCGGCAGTATTTCGCAAGTAAGTCGCAAGAAACGAAAGTGACGATAGTTGTTCATGATTTTGAATATTCAACCGGATTGCAAACATTTACCCTCTGAAATTCGAAAGAACTGCGGCTCGGATGCTTCAGCCAAAAATATAAGCTGCAATTAACAATTCGAAATTAAATTTCTAAACGCGGCATTCGTCTTTCTCAGAAAATTGAAATTTTGTCTAGAGAGAGAGAAAAAAAAAAAGATACTGCAAACTTCTGAACGAAAAAACACGCATTCCAATGTATATTAAAACGAGCAAACGCTACAACATTTTAAACTCGCATACGTTCTCGCTACACTTCAACCTCTTGCGCTAGAATGACGTGCCACGTGACGTCGGGAATATTTGGCCCAAAATTACAATATTTCCTCAGTTTTAGGTATATTAAAATATAACAAACCCAGACAAAACAAATAATAAACTTTTTACTTCTCAGTAATTTCTATCCAGTAATATACCGATGAATTAAAAAAAAAAAAAAAATGACGAATTATTGTATACGGTTTAGTCACTCGTTATGGTCCGCGAACCAGTTACTAGCGCAAGAAGTTGACGCCAAAATTAATATTTTTCTCGAAACAGAAAATTCAAATCAGCGTGGCTCGTGCGCCGCGCTCATACTCGCTCGAGTTATTTATCGCGGTAAAAAGCTGATAGGCTTTTAAACGACTTTAGGCAACGTCGAGGAGCCAGCAGCTCGGGAACTGCAACAGCACTTCCGGCAAGATCGTGGATCAAAAGTTTCGGTCGCAAGAGCCATTAAACTTTATTTCATTGTTTGACTCACCGTTTCTTCGAGCTGGCTGCTGCAGCAATTCCTCCCCTTCCGGTGTTCTCCACCGCTCTCTTTTCTTCTTCTCTCTCTCTCAACCGTCCCTCTCGCACCGCATGTAACACGCGAGACAGTTTCGCACCTGCGGCACAACGAGTTCGCCACTCGAAATTCGAAAATCGACTTCTCGCGAGACGACTTCTTCCAGCTAGAACACACGCGTGCAACGACACACTGATTTGTGATGAGAGACGAAATATTCGTAATGGCGTGATGCAATGTTTCCTTTTTTTTTTTTTTTTCTTTTTGTTTGTCTTTGTACGCGGCTGAAAGCTTCGATCGAGGCTCACGCGTTCACAGGAGCGAACAACGACGCTTCGAGGTCGTTGGATATTTACTGCGTGGCTACTACGAGTTAGAAAGTCGAGGTTCGAACGTTTTCGAAAACATGCGACGACTGACAAACACGGCGCGATCTAACGCCGTCGAATAAATGAAATGAGCCGCAAGGGGACGCCTCGTGGTGCGAGGCGCGGTCAACATTCAAATTAACGCTAGAATTACCGACGACTGAATTGTAGAATTCGTGGCAGGGAAAGTGAGATGCAAGAGAAAGAAAGAAATCTAATACTGTGTACAAATATACAGTGAATCCGATTAATATTTGCACATTTGTCTTTATACATAGAATATAAATATATATAATTATATACATATATATATGCAATATATTTATAATTTGGTTACGAAATATCGAAACTGTTATAATTTTGTAAACAAAAAGAAAACTGTACAATAATGAACTCGGACTTGTTTTAAAAATTAAAACTTGAATTTAGAAAATATATTTACTAAAAATTTTAATATATTTCGCTAAAGATCATTCGAGTCTCGAAAAACACACTCCTGCAAGTACACAATGAATTCGATTAATATTTATACAAGTACACAAACTACAACGTAAATATAAACGTAAATATATATAATTATAAATACAATATATTTATATTTAGATACCAAGCATTGAAACTGTTATAATTTTATAAAAAGGATTGTGATCGTACAACAGTAAACTTCGACTCATTTTAAGTCTTGAACTTGAAACTTTCACGAACTCGTCGTTTATTTTACTTTAAAATGTTTTCTATATGTACAGATGGCAAAATGAGGACACTTTTCTTCTCGACAATGTTACAAATTATCGTAGACATTAGAATTAAATTTAAAACGGATGTGGAGATTGACAATTCGATTAAAAATTCAATTAGAATTCCAAAAAAAAAAAAAGGGATGCGACTCGAACGTTGCCCGGTGTCGCAGAAGATTTCCGCGCAAGAGCGGATCTCCAAAGCGGAGAGGCAATGCTGGTATTAAAGAGAACGAATTGGAGCTTCCGCCTTTCGTACTTTTCGTGAAACTTTACGTCGTGTAACGTCGTGCGGCCGCTCCCATCGATTTTTGTCCCTCCGAGATCTTAAATGTGAACGCGAAAACCGGTAGCCAGCGATTCGCGGATTAAAACAGCGGCGCGAGCTTCTCGCTCGTGCGAACGCTCTTGAGCAATCGCGACTTATCGAAGGGAAACGCGCCAGGGTTCACGACTCGTATAAAATGTTAAACTCAAATGTTAAACGAACCTTGGCACGGCGGATCGAACGATCGAACGATACTGGCCATAAATTGAAAACGAACTGTTCGATCGAATATTTTCGTTACACTTGGTTTCGATATTGTCGCGTAACAGAGAGACGAATCATCTCAGTTGTGATGTATATCTCCTGTCCATAAGTTACCGGACACTTGCTCATTCTAAACAAAACGATCGTTACGATTATTAACCATTTCGCTTAACCATGAAGTCTCGCCAGAATTATATCGGTTATGCAATACCACTGACGAGATATCTCGCGTCGTAATAGCGTTTCTGTCTCTTAAAGAAAGAGATATCTCGTAATACAAAGTAAAATGAAGTTTTACTTAACCGACAAATAATCATTTAAATTTGGAGAAGTATGATTTGCTTGGTCGAATTTTAATTGTTCGATCTTTTAATTTTTATTTCGAGATGTTCTTACTCGGACACGTTTGAATTACTATTTAAAATTTTTAATTTTAATGAAAAGGAAGATTTGTGCTGTCAAATACAATGTAAAGGCACCGAATTAATTAACAGCTAGTTACGTAAAACGTAATGATCCAAATAGAATAATGATCCAAAATAGAATTCGAATATCTGTAAAAAATTATTTGAAATTTGAAAGATGAATTGTCAAGTCAGTCGTAAATAAAAATAAATCGTAATCACACCATAATTTTATCAAGTGTCCGGTGATTTATGGACGGGAGTGTACAAACACGTAGAGAATGATGTGTGCTAAGATTGTAAAAGCATATAAAAATATAATACAAGTGGAGTCGTGGAAACAAAATTCGCGTCTGGAATGAAAGAACGAAGACGACAAGTTTCGCAAGATGATTGATATTGTTATCGTTCCATTTGTTTGATTCAATAAAATCCTTGATTCAATTCGTCTTTTTACAAACGTACGTTGGTTTTTCGTTCGTCGCAAGGTGCGCGAGTACGTTTCATAAATATCGCAAACGCGACACTTAGAATGCTTGTTACGTTTGTTCTCGTCTCACTGCTGCACGCATCGCGTACGTTTCGATACGATTATAATAAATTAATTATAACATGTACTTCCAATCACCGGTAATCACTTTGATCGTTTGTTAAGGAAATCAACGAGAACGAGATTCGTAACGTTGCGAACGTTCGGAGGTACGCAAACAACCGACGTGCAAACGAGATCAACGTCGATCAACGTAGAATGGATTTAATTACGACGCGGACGTTTTGCCTCGCGCGACGAATGTTTATTTCGCGCGACGAAACGAAAACCAGCCAGTGTGTGTGTGTGTGTGTGTGTGTGTGTGTGTGTGTGTGTCGCCCCAGTGTTGGCGTTTCGGTGAACTTCCGCAGACCCGGAAACTCACGGTCGAACGATTAGCGATGATAACCACGCGGACGGGCCCTAATTCCTCCGCGTGTGGCCTGTAAACCGATCGATCATCTGCAACCAATCAGATCTCGCGTAACTGGTGCTTGACCAAACAAATTATTTCCTCCCGATTACAGCCAGGTACATCGCGTCTCCCCGCCGCAACGATCATCCGCCGCGTCTAATGCAGTTGAATCGTTCGATTAAATTGCGCGCGAATCGCGAACCGCACTCGAGGTTTTCACCCTTCTCACCCTCCCCCCCCCCCCGTCTCCCTGCCATTTTCGAGCAATTTCCTTCGCGGTCGCGATCCAACGATCCAAGCGCAAGCCGCGTTGATGCAGTGTCATCGGGATCACGGTGAAAGAGTTACGCCTCGTTTAACGTCGAACGAGCCGACTATTAGCGACACAATGCCTGTCATCAATTGGTCGTGACCGGTCCACGTTTAACATAGCACAGTCTTTCTCGCCGTTTAATAGCTCGTGGTTTAACGCCGGAACTAACCCGGCCGACTGGGGTGTAAAATTTGTAGCGAAGCTGATTAAAGTTCCGCGTGGAACGGAAAGAAGTTTGTGACACAATGAAGAACGCAAGCTTCTATTTACACATTTTGGTAAAAGTCGTTCGAAATGTACTGTTACAAACATATAAGATTTCCGTGTGTGTAAAGTTAGAAGTGATTAGTCATTTGGGCCACTTGAAACGCAGTCAAGTCGACTGTTGGAGAACTAGGTGGTTCCACGTTCTTCGTTTCAAAATGGCAGGGAAGGGTGGCGTATTGAAGAGAAAATTAATTTGAGCTGCTCTTTTTGCCTTTGGACACGACTGTTAACTCCCGTGCAAAAGATTCAGAAGCTAATGAATGTAAATCGTTTCTTGTCAACCTCTTAACTTGCCGAAAAGCGCAATTTGTGCGCACCGCGACGAATTAATTCAACCCCCGTTCGCGAACCATAACGAGTGACCGAACTCTATACAATAAATCGTCGCTTTCTTTTCCTTTTGAACTCGTCGGTATGACATCACTGGATAGAAATTATTAAGAAGTAATAGACTTATCATTTGTTTTGGATTACATTTAAATATACTTAAAACTGAGGAAATGAGTTGCAATTTTCAACGAAACTTCCTCATTCCAGCGTAAGAGGTTAACTCGTTGAATGAGTCACGTTCACAGTAAATAGTACGAAAAATAATAAAATATAATACGAAATTTACATTCTGCAAACGAAAATCAGAAGAAGAAAAGAAACTATGCGTCAGGTTTAACTCGTTTCTCACGCTGGAAAAGTATTTTCCAGTGCCGAGTTAACTCGTCATCCCCAGTTAAGAAGGTTGAGAAACAATTTACGCTTTTATTGAAATATACGAAATCTTCAGTCGACGAAACAGTTTATTTCCGATTATACCGTAATAGTGATATTGTACTATGATTATGCTTTGTTCTGTCACCTAAAGTCGAACATTCGGAAGAACCGACTTGCACTGATCAACTTGCCATTTTAGCGCACGTATGCATCGGTTTCATACTAGCAGAAAGTACATGAAGAATATCAGGACCATTAATCTTGCTGTACGTGTACTATACATCACTATATGCAAAATATTACCCATCGTGAATGACAGTTTAAAGCATCAATCACCGTATCGTGCAAAACAACAGCTTTTTCCCACCTCAGCGTGTATCAATTCTAACATCACGCGATATTATATCCAAACATAACACCACTTTCCCAAGAATCAGCCGGACAATCGCGCAACGATCGTAGAAAGCTCATTTACGATTTAGCCGAGAGTCGAACGATCGAAGCTCCCACTGGCACTGGCTCGAGCTGTCTCATTACGCTATTTACATTTCGTCGCCGTTGCTCCCTCGGGATCCTCGCACGTGCCACACTGGCAGGATGTTTCTCTGGCGGCGAGATTTCCGGGGTGAGAGACTTCGGCGAAGCGACACGTTCCTCGCGACGCGTGGGGAATCGAATCAACGCCGCGGAAGATTCGCGCCGGCGAATCGACTCGGAAACACGCGGCAACCGGAAGACGTCGGCGGTTCGAGACTTCTCGTCTACCCTTCCCTTCCCTTCGGGATTCACTGTGTCATCGGCGCGCCGCGTTTCCGCTCCGAGATCCGTCGTGGCTTGCGTTCGAACGTCACACGTGACACGTCGAGTGGCACGAGAGCGAAACCGGCCGATCGTTTCCTGTACCGTAGAGAGCTTGGCTCCGGATGGAGGTCTACCGAGACACTGACGACCACTCTCGCCATACACGAGGACATTCTCCGATTCTCAGGTGGAACCGACAAAGAGAGAACGAGAGAGACGCGAAGGGAAAAGGAGAACGAGCGAAAGAAAGGCTCGACGTTCCCGATCGTGCCCCCGTTCGTTCCTTCTCGGACGCTCCTTCTTCCCACACGTGCAACACGTCTCTCTTCCACACGTGCAAGCTTTTCACGATTTTCTCCTTTCTCTCTCCTCTTCCCTGCTATGGGTTCCTCCACGCTGGACAGGGAGAGAGAGGTCACCGCGACCGATAATTCCGCGGAGAACTCGTCGCGTAAAATTCATATCGAGGAATAATTGCGTTATCTGTTAAATATTAAAAATATAAAAGATATTTTTTATCAAATATTCATTAAATTTTATTATTTTAATTTTAAACAGAGCTTGGATCGATATTGCAAAAATAAAGGCAGAATGCCGGTATTTTTAGATAATTATTCTATCATCGCAATGGAAACTAACTATGATTCGGACTATACCGATATTATGTGATTAAAGCGACGTTATAGCTGTATTTCAGTACTTATAGAGTACTGGTAAATATTAAAGAATAAATATTACAAAATATATATATTATAAATATAGTAAAATATATATATATAAATAAATACATAAGATATATATATTATAAATATAATTATAAATAATATATATTATAAATATAATTATAAATAATATATATTATAAATATAATTATAAATAATATATATTATAAATATATTTATAATATATATTATAATATATATTTATAATATATATTATAGAATAAAGAAACACAAATTAGATAAAATCGTGTTTCAGTCGGAATCGGTGTTATACAATTGAGAAGTGTATAGCATATTAATAAAAACAGAATGTTATGAACGTAGGATTATTATCGATAGTAACCAATGACATCCAGCAAGTTAGTATTTGCACTGTTTCTTCCAGGAAACGCTCTGTGTTATAAATTTCTGGAATGTCTGTTACAAATAAAAACTATATACAAACTACGAGGTTCGTAGTTCATAGTACATCGATGTTGTTAAAACATTCAGTATTCAGCAACGTTTGGTGACGGACAGTGCTCTTAGGCACAATCAGTTGAATCACAAACTCGTTTCGCTCAAGATAAATAATTAAAATTTTGTTCAAATTATTCTTTGAAATTATGAGCTTCGTTCTAATTATAAGTTTCATATTATTATAATAGTTACCATTTTATTCCTGTTATTCTACAGTTATAATTTTATTTAAGGTACGTATAGTAACTCTGTTCGAATTCTGAAGTTCCTCGACTTCAAGTCAAAGTTTCAACTTTCGAAAAAAGAATAATATCGGATATTACGCTAGAGCTGGTACAGTTTTAATTGTTCCTTGTATCCAAGCTAGCGTCGCCTTTGCTTATCATTGAACTATATTTTATTATATCGTCGCTGTAACTTACGAGATAATTGTATAAATGATACGTCACTAACTCGAAGAAATTTAGAATAAATCACTTTTCACTCAAGTATTCTTTTTTCACACGTAAGAAAACGAAAACTATATATTTAATACATACTACGTCCTTCCTTGTATATACCAGATATTGTATATTGTATTGTACGTACCGATATAAATTTCATTTTCATTTATGACGTTAAGTAGCGATAGAAAGTTAAGTTAAAAAATATCGGTATTAATAAGATTGATCAAAAAGCGGTTGTGTTACATTGTCAAATACCGACGAAATATCGAAGTCTCAAGATATATCGGTATTCGATTTCTGGTTTTAACGAGGACGTGATGATCGTTGCGCGCATTTCCGCTTTGGCTCACTTACACGTGACTCGCGGCACATGCGAGAAGATGATAAAAGGTCTCGTGTTTTTTGAAATGGAAAAGGGAAGTGAGAAGGTAAAATAGAATTGTCGTGGTTCCCTTTTTGGTAGCTCATTAATTATAATTCATATTCTATGGAAAATGTAGGGGACTTCCTCATTCTCCGAGCATGACTTCCTCGGGAAATTTCCGATTGCGCATTCGAGCGTTCATACGTGACTATCGCGCACTCTATGTACGTAGCACGTGCAAAATTTGAACTAAATAGCTGATCTAAGCGTACGCTCTTGCATTCCAGTAAATACGTAACGCTGATAATAACACGCTCTTTCAACGTACATTACATTCGCGCCGGCGTCGAAATTTATTCATTAATATTACACTAATAATTCGAATATAAAATCTGAGATCGATCGAGAGCGAGTGTAGATTCAACGTTCTGAAACCTTCGCCTTTAAATATTGTTGTCGAAATGTTTGCCCAGCAGATCCTCCCGCGTTTCAGTTCCACCCCGTCTATCGCGAAGCGTGAATTAATTGTCGAAATCAAAACAAGAATAGTTTCGGTGCCCGGTCGTCAATAAACAGACGATTTCCTAGAACAAGCGAGTTGTTTCGTTTGGAAATATTGATTTTGGCGTTGGGAGCGGACGAGCGTGCAGCACGTGGACTGGCCGGGCGATTGATCGAGACGCGAATCAAATACGTATATCGCGATTGTTAATTCATCGCGCCACACGAGTTCTCGACACGAGTGTTGCTCGAAATTCGCGAAAGAATTGCGTCTGTCCAGTGTGCACGAATAATTCGAAGAATTCTAAACAACCGACGAACATATTGCACACGTTTCATATGCACGAAGCTGGCTGTACCTGTATTTATTATAGGTCAAGACACCGATAAGAAGCCTGTTTCAAGATTTTAAAACGCATGTTCGTAGTTACCGATCGTTAAGAGTGGAAACTACGGAGGCGACCTTTCTCGTTACTTTCCTTTACGTAACTCCGACTCGCCAAAGGGAATCGACTCTTTTTCAACGATGCAGCAACATTCCTATCGTCGAGATGGCCTGAAACACCGTACCTTCACCGGAATCCAGCATCGGACGGCTGAGTTCTTAGAGGAATCTTTTGTATCTTACACTTGCTCTGATTCCCTCCCACTGGGTTCCCAGTGGTGTTCTTTGAAAGTCTCGATGATAAATTTTTGAACGTTGAAAGAAATGACTTGTGAGATAACTATCTGTCATGGTTGATTATAGTAATTTGCGTCAGATTACTACAGTTCTTCTTGGTACCGTATGCGATGCAAGTTTTGCAGTATAAAATAATTTAAAGAAACGCGGAACCGTGTAATTGTTTTTATATGTTAATTCCAGACAAATTTCATAAATTTAGCAGATATGTAAATTTATCAGTCAATGTAATTTCTTTTCTTTTCTCTTTTTACGGTATAATGTACAGTGTACACAGTGACGGTATAAGATTAAGTGTTTCTTTACCTTTTTTTTTTTTATTTCTTTCCTTGCTAACGAAATTCGAAAGTTCGATTTGCACCATTAACTCGCGAAGAAATTTCAAATAGCACAAGGGTCTATCTATTTAATTAATCTGCCGTTTAATTTAAATTCCACTCAGAGATCGAAAACGTAACAACCAAAAGATCTCCGAGATCCATTAAATATCCACGATATTTTACTCAAAAAAAGAAAAAAAACGAAACTTTACTCAAAAAAAGAAAAAAAAAAAAAAAGAATTGGCCCCGCTTGCTGTTTCTCGAAAATTTCGGCCATTATCCAACGATAAAGTTAAACATAAATCTACTCCGTAATTGTAACGATATCGCGAGATAATATTGCCCCACTGCCCAATAATTCCAATTAAGTCGAACAAATTTATTCAACAACTTAAAAGGAACGTTACAACTGAATTTAACACAAAGTTTCGTCAGAAGGCACACTCGAGCCCACCAAAGAAAAGAAGAAAAAACAGAGAAAAAAAAAATTTTAATCAGTTGGATAAGCGACTCGATTAATTAAATCGGGCCGGTTTCACTTTCAAGAAGTCAAGATCACGCTTTCTTCCTGGTCGATTAGTCGCGCGGTAGCCTTGACATATCCGTTTCCTGGACAGAGAGTTTCGATTATGCGGCGAGCGTCGCATTTTCGACAGGCGGATGCAGTTCTGGACTGGAGATTACAAAGCGACCGCAACGATTAACGGGACGAGACAGCTACGACGGTAGTTGCACTGGCTGGCCTATTAGCGTGACACTGGACCTGTGACCCACCTGATAGCCATTCTCTTTCAAACTCGCCACACCTGAGAACGCCATTAACCCGGAGAGCGATTACGGCTAGCGCGCTCCTGTTAAAAACGTCGTGCATTGAGCAGCGTGGCCATTGTGATTTTACTTCAGTGAATAAAGGCGGTGATTGCGTGATTCGTGTTGCATCAGCTGGGAAATTATTGACGACAACTCGAGGTTGTGATGACGATATAGCTACATAGATACATGCGTGTATATAGGGTTGCGGATCTTTGTGCAATTGCGTATTTTCTGTGAATCAAAAGAGTGGAGCCTGGGGAAAAATTTACGACGTATCCACTAAGATAAGAAGGATCCGGGGGGATTTTTATTTTAAAAGGAAATGAAGAGATGAATTGTTTGAAATGTTACTTCCGTGTTGTTGCTTGAAAATAACTTCAAATAAGAAATAATCTCGTGATTCTTTATTAAACCCAAATCTTCATTACTTCAATTGTCACGAAAGAGGGAATTCTTAAGATAATACAAGTAAATGAATCGAGCGTCGAAAGTGATTGTAACGCACGAATTGTTTCATTATTTTGAATTTTGTATTTCAAAACGAAATAACGAAAGTTGTTGCAGATTTGAAAAACGTAATAATTATAAGATGGAATAACATTTCAAATAGTGCCCAGATCTGGCAAAAAGTACTTTACTTTCGATGCTCGTCATTCTCGCGAAGAATCCTTAGATAAAAAGAAATTTATATTCTTATCAATGCGTAACAATCCACAGTCTGCGAATCTTTGACAAATAAAAATTTTAGTGAAAACAAAACCGAAACTGTTCTTTGCGAATATTATCAAAAAGATAAAACGAAAACATTAATTCGCTTTATCCACCTA